GCCTGCCCATCCTGGCGGAATGGGTGCTTTACTCCTGCCGTTTCGCTACTCGCCCCGTGCTGCTGCCGCTCTACCAGACAAAGGTAGGCAGGGCTGGGCCTGGCCGCCCCACCGTGCCCGGGGATCGTGGGGACCCCACAGCTCCAGGGCCAACCTCCGCCAGGCAAAGGGCTCCCCAGGACTGAGATATCCATGATGCTCCAGGGTTCGGCCAGCCCCGCCCCTCGCTTGGCCAGCACGGCCTGGGGAGACTGCGATGGAACGTCGAACCCCCGCTAGAGCTCACGAGATGTACTTCCCTTACTGGGGGTAGCTAATGGCTCTTGGACTGATGCCCCTGTGAACCCTGGTGATGGAGCTGGTGTGGGAGGCTTCTCGGGGCTAAAGCCATGCTGGCTTTCCTATTAACCCCCAATGACCTCCAGCGATACCAGTGCTGCTGCTGTTGTGGAATGTAGCGGTACCCAGCTTCCTGGAGATGGTTGAAGTGTGGCCCAGATCACACCAGAACGTCTCCAGCCTCCCTGCTCAGCTCTCTCCAGAGGCCCAGGTCCCAAAGGGCTAAGTCTGCACTGTGCTGGTTTTGTGCAAGAAACAGGCAAATGAGGCTGTGTGTGGAATATCGCCGCGCCTCATTCGCTGCTTTTTGCACAAGAGGCTTTTGCGTAAGAACCCTTATTCCTCAAAAAATGAGCTTACCAGGTTCCTGCGCAAAAGGGTTTTTTTCGCCAAACGGACACGTCTACACTGCCTCTTTTTGCGCAAAAAGCAAAATGAAGCGCAAGAAGTTGCTAATGAGCACTTCATTTGCATTGCCTCTTCCGCCAAAACGAGGCAGTGTGGACGTAGCCTAAGAGAGGTCCCAGGAACAACTTCCCAGCTCCCTTGTGTCCCCCTCTCCCTATACGGGTGGATCTCACCAGCGCTAACGGTCACACGCGCGCCTGGCGGCTATTGCTGCGCTTTGCTTTCTGAAACCCCCGAGTCCTGCCAAGCGCCTGCTCTCCAAAGCCTGCTCTGCCCAGCATCAGAGCTTGAGAGCGAGGTTCTTGCCGCCTTGGTGCTCTGATCAGCTGGTGTTGGGTGTGGGATGGATGCAGAGGTGGTGCTGGTAGCAGGCGTTTCCCGGAGTAGGGTTGCTGTGCCTTGACCTGCTAGGATTGTCCAGCTTTAGGGATTCTCTTTCCTTGTACTGCTTCCTTTGAAGGCTTTGGGCTACTAGGACACCCTCATTGGGCATGGCATTCCTAAGGCATCTCTCTCTCTCCTCTCCATCCCCGGACAGCTAACCTTCATTGGTGGGGAGCAGAAGACTGAAGTCTTCGTTCACTCTCTCGAATTGGGCCATTCGGCTGCCACACGGGCCATCAGGGCGTCTGGTAGGTATCACATCTGGACACAGATGTTTTCCTTGACTTCCCAATGCCTTCTGCGTCACAAGTTCTGTAGTGATAGGATGGCAGCTTTAGAAATGAGGGCACAGATAGACTTCATGGTGAATGCTTAATAACTAGGTCTTGGGGGAATCTAGGACAATCCAGATGAAATGCACAGACTCATCGGAGCAACGTGTGGTGGGCAGGTGGCTAGGAGAATGTTACTTCAATAAACTCTGGTCAGTGATCTGGGTTATAGACTGGGATTTTGCAAAGTCAGAAACTAAAGTATCATGAAACCAACTTTTTCCCTTCTGTAGCAATCTTCACACCTTTTGTTTCTCGGGGTAGCTCTTTGTTACTTTTACTTTGATCCACAGTTAATTTATTTTAAAATATAGCTACAAACGAGCTCCTTCCTCAGGTCCTGGCACATCCTGGAGATGTCTTGGAAGTCAGCATGTCTTCTATGTTTTGTTTTGGTCTTTATTTACTCGCAGTTTCTCTTTCTGTCCTGATATTTCAGTTATAAAACTTCTTGCTTATGCTTTTGTAAACTTTAATGAGACACAGGAAATAAACTGATGGGTTCACAGATCTTTAAACACAGGAAATATTGTTTAATAGCTACTACCACAGACACACAAGTAGGCATCCACACAACTTCAGTTCTAATTTTATCTCTCTTGTTTACCAAAGACCACGTTCTGTTTGGAGTTCTGTGGAGCTCTTTGTAGCTGTCTAGTGGCTAAATCATATATTGCAAGCACACACATGATTTGTTTTTTCCTCTTTTGTGTTCTAACTTCCTCTTCCTGTCTCCAAGTAGAGCTTAGATAGTGCACTGCTCTCCATTTAACTAGTTGGCCATGCTCTCATTCCTACGGGCTTATGCTTCAGGTTAATCTTCAATAATAGACCGCGTCAACCATTTTCATCATTAAACAGGGCATGATATTTAACTGGGTTTTGATGATGCAGTTTTGCACCCACCATTTTGCACCTGCAGTCATTTTGCCTAGAAAAAGCATCAGTAAACTTCAGGCCTACTTTAATCTGGGTACAAATGCTATTTTTAACGGGTTTACACATGGGAGGGGGCCTGCCAAGCCACGCCATGGGCAGCTCTGGCCAGGCTGATTACCACCAGTTAACCGGTTACTGGTGAGCCTGATGCTTAGCAGGTAACCAGTTACATCCCAAAAGGAGGCCCCACTGATAAACAAGCCCCTTACAGCTTTGTATTTTCCCCAAGATCCAACTTTTACCCAAGAGCTCCTGCTAGTTTAATGAATTTTTTTCATTCTGAGGAGCGGGCTCTAGCGACTTATTGTATTTTATGCTAAAACTCCCCATGCGTTTGTTCACGTCACACAGCTAACCTCTTTGCTCCTCCGTCACCGTCTGATAAAACACCCGCAGGGTGGCTGATAGCGTGTAACAAATAGGTGAACGCTGATCCGCCCCTTCTGTGGCTTGGCTGCACAGGCCTGCTGCACAGCATGTTTGGACACACACGACGATGGCTGGAAGTGGGAGTGGGTGTCAGCCTTGGCAGTGAATAGTAGAGCCCCCTAAGACCACGGTTTGAGGCCCACTGAAGGTCTGACGTGAAGTATTTGGTGGTTGTAGCTCTATCCTTCGCCGGCAATGGGCTTTATCGGCCCAACCCCCCCCACACAGCGGGGAAGTGCCTCATCTTTCTTCTGAACGGGTTCACCGCCAGTAGCGATGCCCCATTGGGCTTTGTGACAAGCTGGGGTTCTCCGAGGCCACGTGTTCTGCCGTCTCGAGGGAGAGTGAGGAGCTAGACTCACCAGAAGTGGGGCTAAGGTGAACGCGTATTGAAGGGTGGGGAGAGAGGAGGTTGTGGTGTGACTGCAGCGTCTGTTTGTATCGCAAAGGTCCAGGCAGCAAACGGCTGGGAATAGACGGTGACCGAGAAGCAATCCCACTCACACTACAAATCGACCATCGAAAGGTAACCGGGCGGGAGTCATGGGGGGACTAAGACTGCAGAAATCTCTTCAGCGTTGCGGGTACCTCCACTGAGCCCGAGACTTTAGTAGGGTGCATGAAGGAAATCACGCTAGGGGACTTCAAAAACAACCAATGGCCCTGTAGCTCCTTAGGGTATGTCTACACTACCCCCCTAGTTCGAACTAGGGTGGTTAATGTAGTCATACGAACTTGCAAATGAAGCCCGGGATTTGAATTTCCCAGGCTTCATTTGCATGTTGCCGGGCGCCGCCATTTTTAAATGCCGGCTAGTGCGGACTCCGTGCCTGCGGCTACACGGGGCATGAACTAGGTAGTTCGAACTACCTCCTCGTGGAATGAGGAGTAACGGTAGTTCGAACTAGGAAGCCTAGTTCAAACTACCTAGTTCGTGCCCCGTGTAGCCACGCTGCACGGGGTTCGAACCAGCGGGGTTTTAAAAATGGCACTGGCCGGCTTATGCAAATGAAGCCCGGGAAATTCAAATCCCGGGCTTCATTTGCAAGTGCGGTATGCCTACATTACCCCACTAGTTCGAACTAGGAGGGTAATGTAGACATACCCCTAGAGAAGAGAAAGTCGAGGTGCGGGGAGTGGATAACAGTCTTCAAAGGGCTGTTCTAAGGAGAGCAAAGAGAACGTGATCGCTTGTGCTCCAGATCCACAAAGTGCAGGACAAGGCGTGAGTGGCAGAGTTTTCAGCAAGGGAGGTTTGGGTTAGATATTTAGGGTTCTAACGTTAAGCCCTGGCGCAGGTGACCTAAGGAGGTTGTGGAATCCCCGTCAATGGAGGTTTTAAGAACAGCCTGGACAGACGCCTGCCTGGGATGGTCTAGCTTTGGTGCTACCTCAGTGTTGGGGGATGACCTGATGACCTCTTGGGGTCCCTTCCAGGCTGGCGTTTCTGGGATTCTCTGCTTAGGGGAGTGTGTGGATATCAACTGATGGGGAAGGGGTGAGCATATCTTGCGCTTCAGGGCCAAAGCGGGATCACAGTGTAAAGGAGTTGAAAGCACTTTAGCTCCTTGCCCTCTACTTCCTTCATTTCCAATGGTGACCTCCAGGCAAGCGGGAAGGGCGGTGGGCCCTCTATAAATACTGGGTCTTGTGTCCACTGGTGGATTTCCCGACTGAAATAGCAAGAATCCTGAGAACAAGCTCCGCCTGTCGATAACAATCCTGTTATTGCCAATTCAGCCCCCTGTGCAGCTCTGGAGCATATACCTGCTACCGGCATGGACGGGCAGCTTGGTCTCTGGTAGTTTGAGATCTCAGCAAGTACGTTTAATGGCTGCTAAAATTACCAGAACCATCCACTCCGAGGAAATCCAGTTCTGAGCTGTATCGGCCAGATCAGAGATGGGGCAGAGCAGTGTCAGTGTAACCCCCACCCCCTTCTCTGACTTTTGCCTGGTCCCCACAGACAGCAGCTAGTGGAAGGAGCCGCACCATTAGGGCTCAAAAGACCTGCACCTCCGTCAACCTCAGCAAGGCCTGTAAAAAGTACGAGGAGCTCGGTGAGTGCGGGTGCCCTTAAACCGTCACATGGGGCGGGGGTGGCGGTGCTTCTGGGGTGTGTGCATGTGTGTGTGTGTGTGTGTGTGTGTGTGTGTGCGCCTGCCTTCTTTGGGGTGAAAGGGCACTGCCCAGAGCCTTCCCCAGAGGGCACCACTCGCGGCCCTGTGATCCCAACGTCCCTCCACTAGGAACAGACCCCGGACAAACAGCTCCTCTCATGCAGGCAGTAGAACGGCCATGGGAGGATGGCAGCCTTCAGTCTGGGATGAAAAGGGTGACCGAGGTGAACACTCTCATGTCCCATTAACAAATCTCACAGCCAGGCTTGAAAATTGTGTCCGGATTCATCGGGCACGGTGTGCGGATGCACGTAGGATACACGCACCACGCTCCCACGCCTGGCACCGGCAGCACGTGGATACAGCTCTCTGCCATAGGATGCAGAAACCAGAGTTGAGCAGGCTTGAGACTGTCTGGCGGGGTATCTCCAGTAAACAATGCGAGGAGTAACATGTTCTGTTTTGCCACATTGCTCCATGTGGTGCTCAACACATGCAAATTTGCAACTGGGGCCAATTGGTCAGCTGGATCAGTAGCCCACTTCGTCAGATGCATGTAGTGGAAATTTCCAGAGGCAGGTTCATCTTCAAGTTGACACAATCAACTCAGGATTAAACAAAGACTGTGAATGGCTTGCTAACTACAAAAGCAGCTTCTGCTCTCTTGGAATTCACACCTCCAGGTCAGCTACTAGAAGTGGGCCTCATCCTCCTTGATTGGATCCACCTCGTCATCTCCAGCCTGATCCTGGCCTGCATATTTCTACCTGCCTCTGGAAATTTCCACTACCTGCATCTGACGAAGCGGGTCTTTGCCCACGAAAGCTTATGCTCCTACACTTCAGTTAGTCTCTAAGGTGCCACAGGACTCCTCGCCGCTTTTGCAGATTCAGACTAACAGGGCTCCCCCTCTGATACTTGACTCCAGCAGTGTAGACCTGGCCTTAGATTTTCGTTGCATTAACCAGTTTGGCCACACGATGTCACTGGAGCTCCGGCCGCAGGCTGCTCACAAGCTACCTGAAAGGTGCCAGGACATGAAAGTTACCTGGTCGCTTGGGCCTGCCTCAGCTTTTTGTTCCAGCCAGTGTTGCAATTCCCACTTCATGGATCTGATCTTTTGTAGCTCCAGTGAAGTTCATTGGCTTTCAGGGCAAGGTGTGTAAAGCTGGGTCGTGTTTGAGGCCGGAGATTCCGGCCGCAGGCTGCTCACAAGCTACCTGAAAGGTGCCAGGACATGAAAGTTACCTGGTCGCTTGGGCCTGCCTCAGCTTTTTGTTCCAGCCAGTGTTGCAATTCCCACTTCATGGATCTGATCTTTTGTAGCTCCAGTGAAGTTCATTGGCTTTCAGGGCAAGGTGTGTAAAGCTGGGTCGTGTTTGAGGCCGGAGATTGCTAGAATTTCTGTTTGATTTAGCTCAGGTTGTATAGCAGAACAGTGCCTTGTTCTGTGCCCTCCATGCCAAGATAGATCATTATCTCGGTTGAGCTGGGATTTGGAATCTCCTGGCTCACAACAGTCGTGATGCTCCGGTGACCGCTGGGGATTTCCTGCACAAACAACAGTCACACTAAGTTCCTGTATTAATCTCCCTTTCCAGCGGTCGCTGGCATTTTAAGGCTTCAGGGCTGGATGTGTGACTGCTGGACTGGCCCACGCAAAGGGGGAAGGAAGCTGGTGCGCTGCCCCAGCAAGGGGCTGGCCGTCCGGGGCATGCAGCTGCGCTAGGAGGAGCGCGCTCCTCGCCGGACTCCCGGGGCTCTCCTGCAGGCTGCTGCGCTGAGCAGCAGGCGGGTTAAAGGTCCAGCGGGGGGTGCACCCCACACTGGTCTGGGACTGCTCCAACCTTCCCCACCCCAGAGCATCCTTTAGGAAGGGCAGGCGGGGCTGAAGCCTGCCCTGCTAGTTGCTTGCTGAGTCGGCCCCAGCTCAGGGCGGGGCGGGGCTACGCCATCGGTGCCAGGGGCCGGGCCCTCGGGCGGGGCAGGGCTACGCCATCGGTGCCAGGGGCCGGGCCCTCGGGCGGGGCAGGGCTACGCCATCGGTGCCAGGGGCCGGGCCCTCGGGCGGGGCAGGGCTACGCCATCGGTGCCAGGGGCCGGGCCCTCGGGCGGGGCAGGGCTACGCCATCGGTGCCAGGGGCCGGGCCCTCGGGCGGGGCAGGGCTACGCCATCGGTGCCAGGGGCCGGGCCCTCGGGCGGGGCAGGGCTACGCCATCGGTGCCAGGGGCCGGGCCCTCGGGCGGGGCAGGGCTACGCCATCGGTGCCAGGGGCCGGGCCCTCGGGCGGGGCAGGGCTACGCCATCGGTGCCAGGGGCCGGGCCCTCGGGCGGGGCAGGGCTACGCCATCGGTGCCAGGGGCCGGGCCCTCGGGCGGGGCAGGGCTACGCCATCGGTGCCAGGGGCCGGGCCCTCGGGCGGGGCAGGGCTACGCCATCGGTGCCAGGGGCCGGGCCCTCGGGCGGGGCAGGGCTACGCCATCGGTGCCAGGGGCCGGGCCCTCGGGCGGGGCAGGGCTACGCCATCGGTGCCAGGGGCCGGGCCCTCGGGCGGGGCAGGGCTACGCCATCGGTGCCAGGGGCCGGGCCCTCGGGCGGGGCAGGGCTACGCCATCGGTGCCAGGGGCCGGGCCCTCGGGCGGGGCAGGGCTACGCCATCGGTGCCAGGGGCCGGGCCCTCGGGCGGGGCAGGGCTACGCCGTCGGTGCCAGGGAGACCGTTTAAATGAAAATCCAAATCCTTGTGCATCGCCCAAGCCGCCCCCTTCCTGTGTTCCAGACCCGAAAACGGAGAGTCTGACTGTCACCATAACCGAGGTCGTCAAGCGGCAAAACTCCAAGTCAAAGAAAAGCTTCAATCAGGTGAGTGGGGCTGGGAAGGGGAGAGTATCCTTAGCTCTGGCCCTGTGGAGGGAGGGGCAGGGGCAGGTTTTCCAAATCCTTGTGCATCGCCCAAGCCGCCCCCTTCCTGTGTTCCAGACCCGAAAACGGAGAGTCTGACTGTCACCATAACCGAGGTCGTCAAGCGGCAAAACTCCAAGTCAAAGAAAAGCTTCAATCAGGTGAGTGGGGCTGGGAAGGGGAGAGTATCCTTAGCTCTGGCCCTGTGGAGGGAGGGGCAGGGGCAGGTTTG